CATGGTTTTCCGCAAAACAAGCGGATCTTAGTAATTTTGATAAAAATCTTAACGAACTCCGCACAGCTTTGAAAAGTACTGGAATTTCTCAAACTGTCAAAATCCATTTTATCCTTAAACATTTAAAGCAATCTATTTCATTCTTGAATAACGATGGTTTAGGATTATGGTCCGAGCAGGCCGGGAAGTCAGTTCATAGGGAATTCATTAAATTCTGGGATAGATTCAAAATAAATATGATTGATAAACCAACTTTTGTGAGTCGCCTGAAGAAAACTGTAATGACATTTTCATTCCAGCATATATAAAAACTTAACTAAATAATAAAATATTTAAATACTAAAATGCGTGACTATATTATATGGTAAGCCAACAAAAAAAATAAAAGGAAACAAAAAACAAATATAAAAAAATAAAGCAAGAAAAAAATATAAAAAAAATAAAACCAAAAAGACCAAAAAAAGAACAAAGAGGTGCAAAGTAAGTTGCGTCTACGTGGTGCGCCTTGGAAACGATTGAAACCGGCTAAAAACTTACATAAACTTATATTTTCACATAATATATATACACACATTTACTCACACATACATTGTTGAATATTTAATTCACAAGGATGTTTTTCTCTTTCGCAAAAGTCGGTCCTATCATAACTATGTAAAATGTGGATATCTTTAAAACAGGAGCAGCTAGGATTTCAATTCAAAGGGATTCTTAACCTAAAAATATCAACAAATACAACCCTGCTTTCAGTTTTTGTCGACATTTTTATGCAACCTATCTTTGCTTCCTGCCCACCGTGCTCCACAGCAAATGAATCGAATTAATTTTTTTAATTTAATTTAATTTCCTTTGTTAGTGCCGGGCTCTCCGGGTGCAGACGCTGAGTTTCTGCTTAACTCTGAGAGGCCTTTTCTGTGCAAAGTGTGTGCTGAAGCTGGGCTATTTTCTAATTGCTCCCCGCCTTTTCCTGTTATTCTTAACGATAGTGTTGTTGCTACTAATGCAATTGCTTCGGATGCCTCTAGCAAAGAAATCGGTGCCCAACGTAATAACAACCTCCCACAGCAGCACAAAATTCTTAAAAGTGCCTCCCCTAATCAACTAACTGGTATAGCAAGTGGGTCTTTCGAAAATGCCAACAATAACATTAATCTAAACCAGTGGTCAGTGATCGGACTTATACCACATTGTGGTAGATCTGCCACTTTTTTGAGCATGTACCACATCTACCACTCAAGGTTCTGAAATCTACAACATATTCGCGTTTTTGAGTAGTTTTATTTTTGCTCAACATAATTCCGCATTCCCGGTGACGATAAAATTTCTCAAATAAAAGTAACAAAGGCAAATGGGACAATAAAATAAAGTCTAAAATAGTAAATTTTCTCAGTAATAAATTTTTCGACAGGAAACGTGGTTTTATTGTATTAAATTGCAAAATATATGATTTATAAAAAGAATAATAGCGAAAATGTTAAAAACGGCGACTTTTGTGAAAGTATTAGCAAATTTAAGTGCATCTAAAGTTTCTGAGGCGTTGTTTACTTTTACTTGAGAATTGTCAAAATCGGCATATCCCAATCAGCTGTTTCTGGAACGTGCCACATTTGTTCGCTACTTCGTGATAAAAAGAAAAGGTGGCAGCACTCCGCAAGGTTGCAGAAATCTCTTAAAATATGTTCGAAAATTATCTTGATATTGAAGGAACTGCTTTACACTGTCAAGGAAAAAAATTGTCAAAACTCAATCTTGCACTTTGTTATACTAAATTTTTTTTAGAGTCTAATTAAGAAGTTTGCAATTTAGGTGAAACCTTGCAAAATTTTTTAAAAGTTTGTACAAAGTTTGGTCCATGCCCAGAGATCTACCACATTTTTTTCCAGATTCTACCACAGAATTTTTTTTAAGTCCGATCACTGCCAGTGGTCGGCGCTTCATACCACAATTTTGGATGATCACTTCACACGTATTCTTACTCTCTATCGTTTAGTCGTAGTGATAGAACTTTTTAGAAAAGTATCGATACTAGTACTCACATAGAATACTCTAGAAAAGAATCGATGCCAGTACTCATATTTGCAAAAAAGTATCGATAATACTCGTACTTCCAAGTATTCTCAAAGCAAAACCAAAAGGCAAACAAAAATCAGATTGCTTTGCTTTTTTGACCTCTTCCTATTTGTAAATTGAATAGTCGCTGCTTTTAATAGTTTTAATCTGATTTAAGGGAGTTTTTTTTTAGGAGTAGGGTGGGAGTGTCATTGATAAAATTACAGCGAGAGAAAATTTTTCTTACAAAACCTTTCATTATTGAATCATGGGCTATTATTCTTATTAAAATTCTTAGTATAAAATTTGTCGGCTTTAGTGGTTTCCTGGCGGGACATAATTTATTTTATAGCGAAACTACTATTTAATTCTTTTAAGTGGATAAATAACCTTTACAAAAATACCAAACACGTTCACATTGCAGACAAAGAAATTTCCGATTTTTGCCCACTTATGCGGAACTCTGCGTCGCACAAAAAAATGTTCGTACAAGAGTTGTGGAGAGTGAGTTAGGTAGAAATTAATAAATCGGTTACTGGCATATACAGTGACGGGCAAAACTGTAACATGGTGCAACACTTTTTACTTCAGCCATCGCTATCTTTCCAAGTTCTAACGACTTTCATACTTTTGTTGTATATTCTTGTTGGTACATCCCTACTCCCTCTCTCATAATGATTTGAAGTCAATGCAACAACAATAAAAAAACCAGCAGACAAAAATGTAAATTAAGGCAGATGTTACAGTTTTGCACTCATATATTTTTAAGAACTTTTTAACAATTTTCACGAAAAAAAAGAACTACTAACACAATGTTCAGTACTATTTTACTTGTTTCAGTTCCTGGATGCGATTTGGCATACCTTATTTGTATCTTTGTAAAAATTCTGGAGGTATATCCTTAGTTTGCTTTCACAGGTCATGTACTCGATTTTACGGACTTTGATACTTATTAAGCTGTGCTTTTAGTTGATTTCGGAAATTTTCGATGAGATTCATGTCCGCGGATTGTGGAGGTCATTTCAAATTAGCAAATTTTTGCTTTTGTATCCAGGCTTTGCGAACATATGCAGTGTGTTTTGAGTGATTTTTCAGCAGAAACTCTCATTTTTTCGACTAAATCTTGCAAATTTTGTTGAAATATAAACAGATACTGTTCCTTACGCATTATGCGTAGTAACGGACCAACAAAATTTTTTAAATACAACCCCAAACAATTAAGATCCTACCACTGTGATTCACAGTTTGCCTTACATGATGCGCATGGGCTTAATTTGGGTTTTTGATCCAATACCATGCCCGGCGATCTGATTGAAAGCGATTAATTTAGTCTTGTCAGACCAAATAACCTTCAATTGAAACTTAAAAATATGTTTTTTATTGCATTCTGAACGGCCTAACATATCCCAATAGGCAACGGTTCGGGTTTCGTGCGATGCAGCGAAACGCTGCCACACTCGCACATGTATTATGATCAAATTTGTTTTTTTCTTCTTTATTATGCCTTTGCGCTCAATTTGGCAATTCTTCGCCTCGCTGTCTATTGATTTGCATTAAAGTTTAATACCTTAAGCGCTTCTGTAATAGTGGCTGCATCGCTACTTGCTGCTAAGTTCACAAGATATCGTATCGTAATATCTTATGACAGACTTCCTTTGTCCTTGGGAACACTTTAGGCTATATTTTTTCTCAGTATTAACATTTTCAAGTAGCAAATTCCAAAATTGTTTGCCACTTTTCGTGCGGTCCCGCCTTGCCGCAGTAAATCTATTATTAACATTTATGGTTCCTGATTAACTATGTTATTTACTGGTGATCACTTCTTCAATAAATTAGAATAGAAGAAAAAGTCATATGACTTCCAACTAAGTAAGAGATAACTGTCAAATGCAAAACTGGGAGTGAGTGTAAAACTGTAACATCTGCCTTAATTTACATTTTTGTCTGCTGGTTTTTTTATTGTTGTTGCATTGACTTCAAATCATTATGAGAGAGGGAGTAGGGATGTACCAACAAGAATATACAACAAAAGTAAGAAAGTCGTTAGAACTTGGAAAGATAGCGATGGCTGAAGTAAAAAGTGTTACACCATGTTACAGTTTTGCCCGTCACTGTACATTTGTGGTCATAAAAGGGCCACGTCCAAAATCCAGAAATGCATAATAATCTAATTTTCTGCTCAGTAGTTACTGATTTATCGCTGTTTTCGTGTTTCTGTAAATGTCAATTTCAAAGTTTTTCAACCAATATCTTAGCTGACACAAGCAAGCTACTGAGATACAGTATTTCATCATAAGTGGGCGGGGTCACGCCCCATTTCCAAAATTTTCATAATATTATTTTGTACCAAAATTTTACTTCACATACTAATTTTCAGCAATTTGGATCCAACATTTACTGAAATATCATAGTTTTTGCATTTTTCGAAAATAGCTTTATATGCGAAGTGGGCGTGGTTACCGGCCGATTTCGCCCATTTTCAATAGCAACCTACCTTGGTTAAAGGGAAACCTACATACCAAATTTCATTGAGATATCTCAATTGTTGCTCCAGCTGCTGGCTTAATCGACATTTATTTTTAGTCAGATGATTTATGTATACATTTGTCTATATATGTCTCGATTCCTTTTGGCTGTTACAAACAACCGTTATGCGAACAAAATTATAATATCCTTGTGCACAAGTGCGGTCGGGTATAAAAATCTCAAACAAAAGCTTGATTGTTCGGACTTAAACTTATAAAAGCAGTGCCTGTTGAATTTATAAATAGAAACAGCTCACAAAAGCAAAGCAATTTGAGTTTTGATTAAAATAAAAAAATAGTTGAAAGTAATATTATTGACTCGTTTTGTAAATATGAGTACTGGCATCGAATCCTTTTTATATAAGTACTAGCATCGATACTTTTTTCATAATATCTCTCACTATATATTCCCTTGTTTCTTTATAGGGTGTCGCATAGTGCCAAAGTGAATATCTACGGGCTTCCATTTATTCGAGAAATGCCGAAAATAACTGGTATATCGGGCTCCGACTTAGTTGTGAAATGTCCAGTTGCTGGCTACCCCATCGATAAAATTCACTGGGAGCGTGGTAAGTATTACATATATATAAAGATTAATGGTAACCGAGATCGTTAGCATCTAAGTTTTCATCGCAGTACTCTCTTCCTAACTACAACCTGTTTCACTTGAATATTATAAATACAAGAGACTGTTGCTTTGCAATAAGGCATCAGTAGTGCATTTACGAACAAGAGTTTCATTATCTATAATTGCAAGGAAAACTTTAACGCTACATTCTGTGGTTCATTTCGTTACGATATATACCCAAAAGTTGGGGTCCAACTCGAACACCCTTACTCATGAAATTTGATGTGTAAACATATGCGTACGGCTCGGCGAAGATAAAAATATGTTTACATACAAATACTATAATCGCAATCAAAGTTCGATTGTTAATCACCCCGTTTTCAGAGGCAAATCTCAGATTACTAGCCGTAAAATTTCTTGTACTTCTCACAACTTACAGAAAAAATAAGTTTCTTCTCTGTGCCACCGCAATCACTTTTTTCTGCTATATTAAGCAATTTAAATATATATTAATTTAATATTTTACTAAAAATGCCTTTAAAAACCAAGGAGAAGAGGTACATAGCGTACATTTTTGTTTACTTTTACATTTGGGTGTTTCCATGAAAATGTCAACCAGGACTGAAAAAATAAAAACAACTGAAAAGGGTTTTTAAGACGAATTAATAAGAGAAAAATACTCGAGTTTTTATATTATAGAAGTATTTCAGCTTATTGGAATTTTAAAACTCAAAAATGGAAGAGTAAAACTGAATGTCTCTCGACTCAGTTTTCTCTAATGAAATGAACTATTTTCTCTTTCCTATTACCTAATTTAAGAGATTTGAAACATTACAATTACATCTTAAAATCAAATTTGCAATAACAACTAACTATAAAAATGAGAAAAAGGAGAAGTTAGAGCTCGAGTAACGGTAATTTTTTGATTTGCTTCTGATAGAATTCTAATGTCGCGTACGTTATGCATAAACATTGTTTGTCTATGTCATTTGTATATTGGCAGTCGCAGGTAATGCAGATTACAATTCTTAAGCGAGAATTCTTCTAGTTAAAGATACACAGTAAAAATTTCTTTCCAACCGAAGTAAAAAGATATTTTATCACCCTTTAAATCTTGTCGCATACGTTATTTTAAGTACGAAAATTTCAATCAAATACATCAAAACCAATGTTAATTGCAACTTTTCCATTTAAATTATTTAGAATAGTTGTAAAACAATGAAACGGTGGCGAGAAGAGTTCTTAATAAATACATTTTATTACTTACGAGAAAAATTGTCGCGTACGTTATTGTTTTTTTTTTTAATATAAAACTAGCCAGAGATAATTTCTCTTAAAATATGAAAGGATTGTAAAGGTACATTATTTAGCTTAGTTTAGGAATTTTTAAAGAAAAGAAAAACTCCCATGATTCGCAGACTTTCGCATATATGCGTGTTTCCATGAAAATGTAAACCGAAAATGCAAGCAAATGAATTCAAACGGCTTTATAACTTTAAGTTTCTTATTCAGATGGCGGAAAAAGGTTTTGAAAACGCGAAAAGGTGGAGAGAAGAACTGAAAAAATTTAATTTAGTATGTGTTACTAGTAAAAATATTGTATGTACGCGTACGTTATGTCGCGTACGTTATTATAATTTTTTTTTTAATAAAAACTAACCAGAGATAATTTCTATCAAAAAATGGAAGGATTGTAAAGGTACATTATTTAGCTTAGTTTAGGAATTTTTAAAGAAAAGAAAAACTCTCATGATTCGCAGACTTTCGCATATTTGTAGATATGCCTTAAAACCACTTATTTTTTTGTCGCGTACGTTATCACCTGGTTTTGAACGGATATTTTCCACACCAACGTTTCGAGGCTGCTTATTTTTTTCTCAAACATAGTACCCTTTGGTTGCAACATAAACGTAATCTTTTTTTTCTGTAACTTCTATTTTTGATAGATTTACGTTACTCTATAAGCGTACGAATGTCGCGTACGGCTGTATGGAAACACCCATTTGACATTTGTCCTCTTCCTCGCAAATATAATCGATAAAACTATGTTGTACACCGAAAAGTTGTCGGCTTAATCTGAGATTATTTTATAATTATTTTGTATGGATCATGGCTTTTTCTAATTACATATTAGGGAGTTAAGCTCGAAAATGCGGATAATTTAGTTACATTTATTACATATGTATCACGATCCAGTATTATATCATTCTTGCTATTACTCCACCAAAGTAGGTACTTTTCTTTCTCTCATTGCGTACGAGAGATGCTTGCTGCTGCCAAAAGGGAGTAGCAAATCTATTCTCTGTATATGTACATGTAGTACTGTAAGTACTTGGGTATTTAATTTCAAATCTGGTTGTTAGCCTAGTTAGTTGATATCGTTTGCGGCGCTGGTCAGCGAAATTGAAAGAGTCAAAATAGAATATGGAAATTGACGATGTAAGGTAATGTTTACGGCCTTATTTATGAAAATAACGTAGTTGCGTAATGTGACATTTTCATAAAACATTTGTATTTAAACAGCTTTTTAAATCTACATATCGGCAAGGCCACGAAAAATGAAACCACATAGATTTTTTTTTTCTGTCACAAAGCCCAAATTTTTTTTTACATTTCAAATGTCAAATATGTATAGAATATGGCAGCACTGTATGCCAGTGCAAAATTTGTGTCTGCTTTGGCATTTTACATTGTTTTCATAAGTGGCACGTGCTAGGCGTAGTTGGAATATATACAATTGTCGGCGAAAAAGGTAAATTTTGTTGTTATTTTTTTGTACTTTGGGCAGATGATGACTTTTTTTGGATAGAATATAAATCAAACTTTTGATTAGCAAGCAAATTTGTGTACAAAGCTTGGCTTTTGGACCAATTAGGGCTTAAAGTAATCCGCCGCAAATAAATGGTGACGTTACTGACAAATTTTTATAAAACGTTTTTCTATGCATTAACTAATTAGAAAAGAGGTTGGATGAGCTGATTTTTTTTTGAGTATTTTTGGAAGTACTTTTATAATCAATGCTTAAATGATGCATTATTTGCATATAGCAGGGTATTTTTGCAAAAAAAGATTGCGTGACGTTACTGAAGGTTTTTATTTTATTTTTTTTTTACTTTTTTGCTTACTTATTTGGTATTTAATTGCTAGACTCCGATTCCTGGTGCACAAATAAAAGAAAGCAACAAATACCACGAGTACAAAAAGAAAAAGGCCGAAGCAATGAAAAAATTGAGGGCTAACAGAAAAGAGGAAGAAAAAGTAATGCCAATAAGTGAATTGGGAAAGGCGATTTCTATGCGCCGCGAAAGAAGCAAAAAATATCGACGGAAATTAAAACAATCAGTTAAAGACACCCAAAAAAACATTTCGTCTTCGAACCAAATCCGTACCATTGAGGACGAAATAGTAACTTATACTACTTCTCAGCAAGGATACAATTAAAATTTCTTTTTTTTTGTGATATTTTATGTTTATTTATGTTTAAAAAAAAAACTACAACTGAAGTGATGCTTTAATTTTGCAACAATTAAAAAGACTGGAATTAATAAAGACTTTTTTATTTTCCGATAATAATGTGTTTTTATTTTACAGAGTGTCCTGGCTTTAGTTCAAAATACTGACACAAAATTTTTATCACCATTTAGGAGGAAATTTCACAAATATTTCGAAAAAAAAACAGAAGTCAATTCGACATTTTTCGTACTAAATAGCCGCTAAGACTGAAAAGTAGGGAAAAATTACAAATTTTCATTTTAATGATGAAAAACTGGTCAAAAACCAATTTCAACCCTCAAGCTATACAAAATCATTGAAGAGATAATTTAATTAACTAACACTCTATCATACAAAAATCAGCTCTAAAGGGCAAGCCCGATTTACTACAATTTTTTTTATGAGGTTGCATCTTAAAACTCATCTACTATGATTTTTTGGGCGTTTAGGGTCCCTCTATTAACCCAAGAAAAAAAAGACCCGAAAATCCTAACGAAATTCGAAAGTGTGACGTTACCGACATTTTGCGTCACGTTACTGACACTGCTTTTATGTCATTTACGTGATTAAAACATAAAATATTAAGCCCACCTTTTGGATAAAAATCATCTTTCATCCTTCCTTTTTTAAAATACTGGGCAATAATAAACATGAACTCTTTTCAATTCGCTCATCTTTACACAAACGTTCAGTAACCTCAAAACACACGTCCAAAATCCGGTGACGTTACTGACGGCTTAAAATGGTCATAACTTCACAACAAAACGATACAGCAAAATTGTCTGCGTATGAAACAACAGTTATGACGAGAACTTTCATATGCCGCTCTCAAGTTGGGAGAAATAATTGTATTTTGTAAAGATATTGACCAAAATATGTATACGAGCGTGACGTTACTGACGGTGGCCCTGCCCATATGTATGTACTTAAATTTTTATTCAATTCAATTCAATTCAATTCATCTTTATTCAGTCTATGATTAAAAATCTTACAGACTAGATTACACAGATTACAAAAATAAGTATTATACGATAATAGTGTTAACATAGCAGTGCATGAACTAAACCTAAGAGTAAAACGATTCAAGCGTGGACTTAAATAAGGATCTTGATGATGAAAATTCGATATCGATCTTCTTGGAGATGTTATTAAATTCCGAGAGCGCTCTTAATATAGGCGCTAACGAATAATTATTAAAGTATTATTTCTCGTTTCTAATTTTGTATAAAACTATTTGCAGTCATTAACCAACAAATAAGTTGTCAAAAACAACTACTGAAGCAATGCTGCTATACGAAACAAAATTATTAGTGGCAAATCAAAAATTTCAAAAGTTATTGGGAAAAGTAAAGTGTGAAAAAAGTTAAAGTAAAGTAAAGTAACTATGTATCTTTATTTAATACTAGCTTATACCCGCGGGTTTCACCCTTTTATACAAATATGAAAAACAATTTCATGATTTTAGATTTTATTTCTGTGCCCATTTCGTTATAGCTCGTTATTTTTTAA